ATCTTGTTTCAAAAAGGAACTTTACTTTCTACGATGCGGTAGCTGGTGCTTTGTAGCAAAAGTGTTGAAAGACTGCTGATACAGCGGATATCACAAACCAGAAACGTTCTCGAGGTAATGATCTCAATAAACAAACAATTGCCAAACAAGGTCACGGTCCCTTGGGCTATTTACATGTGTAGCATAACGATGCGTATCCCATGGCTTATTTGCTGAAGCCATGCGTTGGCCGTTACGGAAGAACATCCAGCAGCCAACGCATTTCATATGTGCGATCAACAGCATCAGCAACGGCGGACTGGAACGTCGAGGATGACCATAACAAAAGTTCAACTACCTTCTACGGTGTTGTAAAGGACTGCTACGAATTTCTTCTTTCGTTTGGGATACAAGGCACAAACCTAGCATATATTTTTGGCTGACTTTTCATGGCTTTGCAACTGAGAAGGCAATTATACTTCTTCCTTTCCTGATATCCGCCATCACGCGTCCTTCAGATCTTCCAATCTTCTTATCCACGTTATAAACTCTTCCATTTACGAGGTATGAAAGAAATTTAACGGCAGGTTTGTAACCCCTTGGGCACAAACTTTAAAGTCACTCTGAGTTAGACTTTCTAATTGGTCACGACATTGGCATTCTTCCTTTCATTGAATTTACGGCGGCGCTGATTTTCGCCTCTGTTGCTTTAGCGAGGTGGGTCTGCTTTTAATTACAACTTTCACAGCTACCGAGGCAAGAATGCCATGCAATCTCCTCCTGCATCCTTTCCTACAAAGTAGCACTCGTTTTCCCATGGAAAGGACGAAAGGTGAGTGACCCGACTAAACAAAACTTATAAGACACCAAAAACAAAACATACCATTCAGCTTCAAGGTAATCTGACCTTGGAGTCATTCAGTTTTTGAAATACTCGGGCGTACGAACACCCTATGATGTTTGAAGTGTTCACTAAACATTCCCAAAAGTCCAATGCAACTTAGTTTCAATCTAATAATGGTAACTTTAGTAACAAGGCTTTAAGGTGAATGATTTCACGGACGAACTGACACACTCTAAAAGCACACAGCACAAGAGACACTGTATGAAATGAAACGAAAACCTACATAATCAAGCACGAATGCTCCTCGCGCCAAGAGCCATCATTTTGTAAATATTTAGCAATTTATGTCATCATTGTCTCAGCTTGTTTAAGAGTCTCGTATCATCCAAGATGAAGGCAACGTGTAACATATAGTTAAACCTAATTTTGAGGGAGTCACGCGCCACCTATACCATTATGGTTAAATATGCTTAAAAATTAACATTTGCGGTTTTACCTCGATAGCGACTGCATCGCATGGTTTCCAGAGAAAAACTCTTAAAAATCCTTTCATGACGTCCTCTTCGCAAAGCAAGGCCGTCCTACTGAACAACATGATGCTAAACTGATTAAACTAAGGGAGGTCAAACGCACGGTCTTCGTGGTCTTGTGGCAATCCGCTGAAGCCACGCCTTGCCGTTATTCAATCCTCTGACGCGCGAATGGGGAACAGTCGGCATCGATGATCAGCGGGCGACCGGAAGTGACGCGGTCCGTCGACAACAGCTGAAGACCACATCGTTGCTCGGGCCAGCGAACGAAATATCGACCTGAACTCTCTCGACTCGGCCGCGTTTAACACGGCTTAAAGCATTTGCAAAGTTTATTTTAACTGCGTGGCCAATCAGCTTACTATGCAACACGTATTACTGTAGTTCAGCAGTTTGGCTAAGCACGTGTCCAATTCAGCAAATCATATTTCTGACCTTCCAAGCCGTTAACTTCATCAGCAGTGTG